AGGCCAGGACAGATCGAAGGTCTATGTTAGGGACCCGGCAGCTTCTGCCTGCCCCCGGGTGCCTTCCTTCATCCTTCCCCTCTTTTTCTGGTTAAAAGTGCTGTATGTGGTAGAAGTCCTGGAAAATTCAGACAAGTGCCAAAAAAATTAAAACTCACCCTAGTAAACCGCCTGGTGCCCCCACGACTTCCACTCCAGTCTGTTTGCTCCGCTCCCGGTACAAGGAGAGCGCTTCCCTGGTGATTCAGTTGGTAAAGAGTGTGCCTGCAGCGTAGGAGACCCACGTTCGAGCCCTGGGTGGGAAGATCCCCTGGAGAAGGAAATGGCAACCCACTCCAGCGTGCTTGCCTGGAAAATCCCATGGATGGAGAAGCCTGGATGGAGAATCCCATGAATGGATGGCTGCAGTCCATGGGGTTGCAAAGAGTAGACGCGACTGAGCAACTAACACTGTTCTTTCCATACAAGGAAAGATACAGAGCCTGGTTTTTTTTTTTTTTTTTGTGAAAAGTTTGAGATGAATTGGCAGCAACTTTTTTTTTTTAATGAAGAANCTATTTTTTTTTTTTTTTTTTAAATTTTTGGCTGCACTACATTTCATTGCTTTTTGAGGGCTTTCTCTAGTTGCAGCTCATGGGCTTAGCTGCTCCATGGGCTGTTGTTGTTCAGTCGCTAAGTTGTGTCCAACTCTTTTCGACCCCATGGACTGCAGCACGCCAGGCCTCCCTGTCCTTCACTATCTCCTGGCATTTGCTCAAACTCATGTCCATTGAGCTGGTGATGCCATCCATCCAGCCATGGATGAGATCGGGTGAGATCCAACCATCTCATCCTCTGTCATCCCCTTCTCCTCCTGCCCTCAGTCTTTCTCAGCATCAGGGTCTTTTCCAATGAGTTGGCTCTTCACATCAGGTGGCCAAAGTATTGGAGTTTCAGCATCAGCATCAGTCCTTCTGATGAATATTCAGGGTTGATTTCCTTTAAGAATGACTGGTTTGATCTTCTTTCAGTCAAAGGGACTCTCAAGAGCCTTCTCCAGCACTACAATTCCAAAGCATCAGTTCTGCAGCGCTCAGCCTTCTTTATGGTCCAACTTTCACATTCGTGCATGACTACTGGAAAAACCATAGCTTTGACTATCTGGACCTTTGTCCTTAAAGTGATGTTGTCTAGGTTTATCGTAGTTTTTATTCCAGGGAGCAAGCGTCTTTTAATTTCATGGCTACAGTCACCATCTGCAGTGATTTTGGAGCCCAAGAAAGTAAAATCTGTCACTGTTTCCACTTTTACCCCCTTCTATTTGCCATGAAGTGATGGGACTAGATGCCATGATCTTATTTTTTTCCCTTCCCAGACCAGGGATCAAACCTATGTCCCCTACATCAGAAGGCAGATCTTTTTTTTTTTTTTTTTTTTACCTTTTATTTATTTTTTTACAACAGTGGGAGCAGATGGGACATGTATTTTCAAACCTTCTTTTATTTACTATGTCTTGAGCGTTTCCCTCCACACTTCATCTTCTTTTATACCAGCATGTTTGACAGCCGCCAAGGATTTCATCATCCAGGCGTAGGAGGATTTATTTGGCTTTTGTTTAATTGGTGCATGCTTCAGCTGTCACCAGTTCCCTGTCACATGAGCCAGTGCTTTGAATATCCATGCACCCACTAACAGTGCCTCCACAGCATCAGTTTCTAAAGGTGGGATCAGCCGGATGGTATGAAGATCCATGGCCTTTCCATTCACATCTCACAGGCTATTCTTGAGACCTTCTTGGGAAGGGCCAAGAATTTTATCTGCTGGAGGAGCTCTCACAGAGGCCTGTTTGCCTGTGCCCTGGTCCCATTATCTCTGGCGCATCTGTGAGTTTGCAAGTACTTGGCAGCCCATGTGTGTTTAACTCGCGCCCAGAGAGCCCGTTGGCACTCCCGGCAAATCTAGTTCATCGAGAACAGGATGAAGCAAGAGCAGGAGGCCCAGAGCCCTGACCGCAGGCGCTTTCCCTGAGTTCTCTGCTGTGCCCTTGGTCGAACTGGCTCTCAGTGTTGCCAGCTCGATCTGGGGAGGAGCTGGAGGAAACTGCAGAGGGGGCTACTGGGCTAAAAAGCAAACAAACAAACAGGAAACATCGCCGAGGCTTTCTGGGTCCCCATGCCACTGACGGAGAGGAGCTGGATTTCTACAGCAGCAGGCCAGGGAGAGATGCCTTCGGTGGCCTCCACCCATCTAGACTTGCGAACGGGTGTTATCGGCAGTTGGTGGGGTTCCTTTCTTCTCTAACTCTTAGCACCTGCAGGAGGTGCGCCATATGTTTTGTCCATCTATGGCTTGACCCCTAATCCGTTCCCTTCATGAAAGAACTTAGCTGTCCTGACTGCAGTCTCAGCGTCTCTTTGGCTCCCCCACGCACTCCACCCCACATGTCTTACCATAATAAATCAGGGCTTTAAAGAGCTTGAGAGAGAAGACAGAGAAGACGCGTATCTTAAGAGAAGGGGTTGGTGGCCGCCAAACCATCGAGGCTGGGGCCTTGTCCAGAGTGTAACAGGGTCGGCTTACCCTCAGCTCAGTTCCCATACTCTCTGGCCCCCTCCGTTCACGGTTCTGATACATAAGCCGCTCAGGGAAAGCCGTCCTAACATTTTGATTTGTTAGGGAGTGATTCATTTTCGAGGCAAGTAAACAGCTTGTATACTTGGGGGTTTACCGCCTGAAGTGATTAAGAAGTCAGCCACTATTAAGCTGGTTCTGTGGAGCTGTGGCTGCCCACACCCCTCCCCACCCCCGGGAATCTTCCTGACTCCCGTCTGGATTTGCCTTGATGTTCGCGGTAGTTAAGCTGAGGCCCCGACCCCACCTCCCCAGTCACCAACACCATCATCTCCCCACGCCTGTTCCTGCGAAGTCCTGCCGTGCTCCGCGGGGGGGCGGGGGTGGGGGGGGGCGAGGAGCTTACCGCCACGCCCCCTCAAGGCTTCACATCCGCATACCAACACATCGCTGGAGGTATAAATAGACCCAGCTTTTGATCCTCAGACAAAAATAATTTTATACAAACATCAGGACAAAGAGCTGCTCCACGGGGGCAGCTGGGTGTGGGTTCCCCCAAGTCCTGAGGTGGGAACAGAGCATCGGGTCCCCTTGCAAACTCCCTCACCCCACCCAGACCTGCCCACCAGGGGGTGGAGGCAAGGAGGCTTGGAGAAGTGGGGAGACTGGCCAGAGCCCTACAGCTGGCAAGCGAGTGGACCGGGATGGAGCCCAGGCTTCCATGGTGCCGCCGCCCTCTCCCAGGCTGTGCCTGCTGTTCCCATCCAGGGTCGGGGAGAGAAGCATTTCAGGCTTTGGGGCCTTGCTGGAGGCCCCTCTTGGAGCGACTCGGCGTTGCCAGTGTAGCTTGTGAGCAGCCGCGGGCAGAATGTACGCAAAGGGCCCGGCCGGGTTCCAGTCGAACNTCCATGGTGCCGCCGCCCTCTCCCAGGCTGTACCTGCTGTTCCCATCCAGGGTCGGGGAGAGAAGCATTTCAGGCTTTGGGGCCCTGCTGGAGGCCCCTCTTGGAGCGACTCGGCGTTGCCAGTGTAGCTTGTGAGCAGCCGCGGGCAGAATGTACGCAAAGGGCCCGGCCGGGTTCCAGTCGAACTTGCCTTACCAAACCGACAGAGGGCCCTAGTTCTCGGACCCCTGCTGGACACGTGCCTGAGTTCTGAGCAAGGCCGAGTCAGGTCTGGAGAACCTGCTGGGAGAAGTGTCAGTGGGCGCTGGTGGCGGGCGAGCGTGGGGCTTGGGGCCCGGAGGAGTGCGCTAGGGCTGGGGAGGCTTGATGTGACTGGCCAGGAGGTCGGGGACCCTGCTGTCAGTGGGGGGAAGGCCCTGCCCGCATCCCCACCCCAACTTGCTGCAGAAGCAGGGGCACAGAGCTCCTGGGGGGCTGAGGCAGGAACCAGCACAGCCTGCCTGGGCTCCCGAGGAGCATCCACAAGGAGTCTGTTCTGTGAGAGCTTCCCGGGCAGTTCGTGGATAAGATCGGGAGCCATGTCCCTTTAGAAAAGCCCTGTACAGGAGGCAGGAGTCTCCGTCCGGGCGCTCCGGGGTGGCTTGTTCAGAATAGCCTGCTCCCACCACTTGCCCAGCACCCAGGGCCGAGCGGGCTGGGTGGGTGTTCTCCCCGCAGCAGCCGGGTTGGGAGAGCACGGTGACCCACGCCCCTCGCGCTCGCAGCTGGGACAGACACTGGGCGCGTGTCCTGGTGCTGAGCCAGGCAGGGCTTGCAGGTTCTGTGAGTCTCCAAAATGCAGGGCCCCTCCGCTCCCTCAGGCTGGGCAGGCCGCAGCCCCATCCTCAACCCTAGAGTTGCTCAGAGGAACAAGCCAAACTGTAATTGCCTGCTTTTCACCAGAACTTGCGTCTCTCCCACACCAAACTTTACGCCAGACCCGCCAGGGCAGAGCCGAGTCCCTGGCAGGGGGCATCTTCAGGGTCTCCCCTTGCGCCCAGGGCGGCTTCAGAGCTCAGGTTGGGCACCTGCTTCTGGCAGGACTGGGCCACGTGAGCAGAGGCCCCGCGGTTTGGTGGTGAGGGTGTCCCGAGTCCCTCTGTGAACGTCACCAGGACGCCTCTGAGCCCCGAGGCTGAGTTCTCTTCAAGGGTGCAGCTGGCGCGATGCTAAGCCAGCATCAGGCACTGATTTATGGCTCAGCGACGCACCCACCCACCCCCTCGTGCACACACACGCTCCCTGGGCTCTATGGCTCTCTGCACCCTTACCCACGAAACGGCATCGAAGTATGTCCAGGCCCATCCCGCGCCTGGCGAGTTCAGCTAACTCTGGGGAGCAGACCCAGACCGTGAAGGAGCTGGCTTTGGGTCAGTTAGCCCTCCTCTTCGAGGTGGGGGCTTGCCCCCTGCCCGGGACCTCACACACAGTCCCCGGGGAGGCGGCACCCACTGCCAGGCCAGCTGGCAGCCCCACTGGGTCACAGCTTCCCACCTTGCTTTGCAGGCTTTGCCGTGGCCCAGTGCATAAACCAGCACAGCTCGTCCTCCCTGTCCTCGCCCTCGCCCTCAGCCAGCGGGAGCCCCAGCGGCAGCGGGAGCACCAGCCACTGCGACTCCGGAGGCGCCAGCTCGTCATCCACCCCCTCAGCCGCCCAGAGCCCCGCAGGTACTGGCCGCGGGACACGGTGCGGTGCGGGGGGACTTGAGGAAACGCTGCGACCCCACTCCCTGAGGTTCCTGGCTGCCCCTCGCCGCCGTGTCTGGGGACTCTGCCACCCGGGGTTCCGCCTCCACTCCAGCGTGCCGTCAGCAGTGGGTGGCTGGCTCGGCCCCCAGCAGGCAAGGAATGGTTCCCTTCATGGGCTGGTGCCCGGGCCGCAGAGCTGGAGGGGTGGGCAGCGGGCGACCCAGCCTCAATTCATTCCACTGTCACCTCCAGAGTCTCAGGTGTTGCAAGGAGGGGTCTCCCAGATGTGATGCTTTGAACTCTGGCAAAAGAATTGTGTCTTTAAATTTTTTTTTCCCCTCCATAACATACCAATTTCCTCTTTAAATTGGCTTGGGGCCATCCAGTCGTCTGTGAGCAGGGGCTGCCTCTTGACGGTCTTTTGGGGAGTCTGTCAGGATGGGCAGGAGTCACAGGTTGCCCTCCTATGACTGACACAGCACGGGCGTGGCGCAGAGAGACCCTGTGTGCAAGGAGCCTGGCGTGAGACACACGCGTGGTCTGCCCAGCTCTCAGCCCCTCACTCATGAGCCCCTGGCTGCAGCGCGTGAGACCCCAGCAATGAAGATGCCAGACTTGTTTCCTGAGCACCACGGCCCCTGAACACAGCCAGAGGAGCAGGGCCTTGCGCCTGCTCGCTGCTTTACACCCCGGCGGGTGACCCCTGGGTCTGGAGGGCCCGGACGTCTCTGATTTGAGGGACCTCCATAACTCTGGTCTGCACCCCCACCTGGGGACCCTCAGTGTCATTCCCTGTTCCTGAGGGGTCCCCTCCAGAGCCCCCACCCTTTGTTATTTCAGGGACACCTGCACACACCCTTGTTGACTGATGGATTGACGGGTCTTGACAAAAGCAGTGTGTTGGGGTGGGAGCCACCACGGTGCCAGGAAATTTAGGGCCCCTGGCCACCAGCCACTCAGCACCAGATGCAGAGATCCCCTTGGGCGCCCAGCCCTCTGTCTAGAGTTTTCAGTTTCCAGTGTTCTCAGCAAAGGGTTAACCGCGCCTGGTCTCCTCGCCTGTGGCTCAGGGCACCCCCGCCCCTCCTCCCGCGAGCATCCCTTACCTCCATCTCTGATGGACATTCACGAGGGCCCCAGCAGCAAGGTCACCCTCTAGCCACCGCACTTAGAGCCCCCTTCCACTCGCACCTGCTCCCCTCCCTGCCCCAACCCCGGGGAGAGACGGCCGCCCTTTCTGAGCTATTTCTGAGCCCAAATGAAGGTTGGCTGCGTGTCCAGGCAGTTGCTGCCGCCGTTCCCAGGCTTGTAGCTGGAAAATTCAGACAGAGCTTTCTCAGAAGCCAAAGACAGCCCTCAGCTTCCCCCTGAAGCCTGGGCCCATGCTGGCTTTGAGGGCCCGAGAGCAGGGTCGTGTGTTGACGTGACACGTGTGTGCCTGCGTGCTCCGGCGTGTGCACCGTTCTGTGTCTGTCGAATGCACCCACACACACACAGACTTCCAATTGCATTTTGGATGAAAGGTCTCTTCCTGGCGCCGCTGTGTACGCCTTCCTTTTGTGTTTAAGGAGGCGCAGCTGACAGCTAAATGAACCAAAGAGCCATACACTTCTTTGCCTCCAGCTGAAGCCAGAAGAGAACCACGCTATCAAAGTCGGGCCTGGGTGTGCAGAGGTCCACCCGAGTGTGGCCCATGGGGCTCAGCATCTTGCCCACCTTGCACTTTGCACTAGTTTCTTTATTCTTGGCCTCCGTCCCTACCCCCTATGATCCCCTGCTCGGTGCCAATGACGTGTCTCCTCCTCGCTGAAACACGGGGGCCGTCAGCCGCCGTCAGGTAGATGAGTGATGGTCCGGCCCCAGCTGTCTGCTCCCAATCCGCGTGTCCCCGGCGGGCCTGCAGAAGCGGGCACTGGAGGCCCTATGTTTTATGCTGCCTGACAGTAAAAGCCTGGGGCTCAGCCTACCCATCCGGATCTCTGCAGACACTGAAATAACTCACCTCCCGATGCAGGGCCGGCCTGTGGGGCGGCTGGCGCTTCCCTCTCAACTGAGGAGCCAGCTGTCGATCCCCACAAGGAGAGGGTGCGCCAGGGCTGGGGCGGCAGGCCCCAGGAGGGTCTCTGCTCACTTCCTCTTGATGCCCAACCTCCAGCCACCAGGTCCATCCAGAAAGCAGCCCATGGGGTTTCCATGTTCCCTAGAGGGGCAGGTCTACCCCGATGATGCCAGCCTCTGCCTGGTGTCCTACCCAGCCTTGCTGGACGAAACAAGGGGGGAGGGTTCTATTGGGACAGGTACCCGTCTTCCCGTGTCCCGGTTACATGTACGCCTGGGTGGTGGCCCAGTGTTCAGGCTTCCGTTTTGGAAGTCATCAGACTTTCCCCCGCAGGGTTAGCTGGGCAGATGCTCCGGCCAGGGCCTCACCCCACAGCCCATCCAGCCTGGACAGCATGCAGCTGCAGCCCAGCCGCGGGGGTGCTTGTCCTCAAAGTGGGTTTTGAGGGCGCAGTGCTGGCTCAGAATCATCCCTGGCCCTGTGTTTCCAGAGCCTTCTGAGTCCAGGAAGTTCCCAGGGTGGAGAGTAGGTGCCAGGCCCTCTGCAGCTGGAATTAGCAAACTCCAGGGCTTCTGTGCTCTTGAAGCCACACTGTGCATGTCAGGATTTGGTTACGAAAGCACTCGGGAAGTGCTGTCCACTAGGAGATGAGCCCAGTGTTCTTTTTCTCTGACCCATGGGGTTGAAACCTGGAATTGTGTGGCTCAGTAAAGAATCTGCCTGCCAATGCAGAAGACCCGGGTTCGATCCCTGGGTCAGGAAGATTCCCTGGAGAAGGAAATGGGAGATCCCCTGAGAAGGGAAGGGCCTGGCTACCCACTCCAGTGTTCTTGCCTGGACAATCCCATGGACAGAGGAGCCTGGCAGGCTGGGCTGCAGTCCTTGGGGTCACAAGGAGTCAGAAACTGAGCGATAACACTTTGACTTTTCGTCCATGAAAAGCAGAGATGACCTTCACACTATCAGCCATCAGTGTGGCCTGGGCCCCCACCGCCCAGCCCTCTGGGTGTGCCCCCGCCACAGGGAGCCCCAGTAGGCGCTGCTCCCCAAATGCGCGTGTCAGGCGTGCGGCTCACAGGCACTTTACAGACACCTGCCCGTTGAATTCTGCCACCCTGTGCCTCACGCTGAGAAGCTGAGAACCGCGGGGGCTCAGAGGGGTCTCTCAGCTTGGCCAGGACGCTGCGGCTGGTAGCAGGCGGCCCAGGTAGGAGCCCAGCCTCCGAGGTCCGGAGCCCTGCCCCATGCGCGGAGACGACCCTGCACGCCTCGCCACGCGCGGAGACAACCCTGCAAGCCTCGCCGTCTCCCTGCGTCTGTCCCCGGTGCCTCCAGGAGGCGCCCCTGAGACCTGGGCATTGTCCAGCTCCCGGCTGGAGACTGCCAGTGCGGTGCAGGCATCTCCCCTTCCCGAAGCTCACCGTTGCTCTCGAGCCAGCCTCGGAGCCTCGGCCCGCTCACAGAGGCCCGGTCACTGCGCAGCTTCTGCAGCGGGGAGCCCAGCGGCCCCCCAGTCAGGCCCAAAACGGACCCCAGACGGCCACGGGTCCTCAGCCATGGGTTCACCCCCAGAGGAGAGTGTGAAACTCTTGGCGCTCCGTTGTGCTTTCTGCCTCCGCCCTCAGTCCAGCCCAGGGGACCGTGCGTTTCCTGCCTGGGTTTGAAAGAGGCCCGTGTTTATCCCAAACACGAATTTCCTCAGCTTCCCATGGGGCCCTCAGTCACGTGGACGTCAGACCCGAACTCAGTAGCGTCTCTCCACCAACCCAGCCCCCACACCCTGCCCAAGAGGCTCTTCCCTCTGCCTCTGACTGCCTCGGCCTTGGTACCCCACCCCCGCCAGGTTCACTTTTTCTAAAGGAACAGATTTTTGTTGATTTCCTACTGTGCGCAGGCCCTAAAGCCTGGAATGTGCAAGCTGCTGGGGAGGCTGAGTCTGTCAGAGGACCACGCAGATAAGCCGCCCGTTATGAACTATGAGCTGGGGGCGGCAGGCAGGGCCAAAGGCTCCCAGAGGAGGCATCACTGGGGGTGAAAGCCCAAGAATGAGGGGCTGACTAGAGGGCTCCCTGGAAAAGGTGGCCTTTGGGTCAGTTCCCCAAGGCCCAGCCCAGGGTCTGGCTGGTGACAAGTCCATTCTTTTCCCCCACCTCTCTGGGATCTACCTATCAATTCCATTCTTGCAAATACAGGCCCAAGGGCTGGTCTGTCTCCAAGAAACAGCCCATCAGGGCCACGGCCCCAGCTGAGGCTCCAGGCCCGCACAGGCAGAGGGACCGTCACCAGAAGGGGGAAGGGACCCGCCTAGACAGGTCACCAGGTGGCCAATGGCCTACAGATGTCCTTCCATGTGGGGAGCACCTGCTTCTGAGTCTCCTTCACATACCAAAGAGAGATCGTGGACACTCGTGAGTGGCTTCTTAGCAAGTGAAGGCTCTCAAAGCGTGGCCAAAGGACACCCTAGGCTGAAGGGAAAGTGAAAGTGTATTCCCTCAATCATGTCTGACTCTTTGCAACCCCATAGACTGTAGCCCACCAGGCTCCTCTGTCCATGGCATTCTCCAGGGGCATCTTCCCGACCCAGGAATCAAACCTGGATCTCTTGCATTGCAGGTGGTTTCTTTACTGTCTGAGCCAGCAGGGAAGCCCCCAGACTGAAGGAGAAGTCAAAACTGAATTCTGTGGTAACCACGGGACCAACCAGAAAGAGCTGGGGGCAAGGGGATTTTATTTTCGTTGTGAATTATTTATCTATCAAAGCTGGGCCCCAGAGGGCTTTTATTGTTGGGTTTCAACACCTGATGCATGAGTCCACCTCTTCCCACCGTCCTTTAAAGACAGTTTGCTGGAACCCTCAAGTCTCTGCAGGGAGCAGCAGGTACACTGTGCTGCAGAGGCGTCCAGGCACCCAGCCTCTTGT